ACGTCGGGCATCAGGCTCACACAATCGAAAGCCCTGGGACAAAGAGCATTGGACTTTATCATGGAAAAGACGAAAATTACAGCCCCAGTTAAAATTACAAAGGAAGTCATTAAGGGGCAGGAGGGTAAGGAAGAGGAGGTCGGCGTCTGGGAATACCCGGAGCAAGATCTGCAGATGCTTCATGAACTCTACGAAAGCCACGCCGTGCTATTCAACGTCTCGGGCAAGAATCGTGAACTGTCATTGAACGAAAAAAGGAAATGGGTAATGGAGAGACTCAGGGGACTAGAGAACATTCCAAGGATTGAACTAGAAGTCTCATACCACAAGCGAGGAAGATTCACGGTCATGATAGTCTACGTGGATCCGGCGTACGCTCAATACGTGCGGTCGTTAGGTTCCCTCAGGTGCCACGGGTCGGTGGTGACGATCCAAGCATTGAAACCACCACAGCCGCCACCAGCGGAGGCTTCAAGGCACAGGCAATCAATGATGAGGGACAACTTCTGGGTGCAGTTTGACAACCTCTCAGAAGGGATGCACACCCTCGTCCAGCAGTGCCTGAAGGAAGAATACCCAAACAACCCCATCATAGAGTGGCTCCCGACAAATCCCGACTTTCTGGCTCCAAACCACGATTCCATGGTCGCATGCCTGGAAGTGAAATCCGGGGCGCCGTCGAAATTCCCCGAGGTATGGATCTTTAGAAGAAGGACATAACGCATCATGATGTTCATATCCTCTAAATCCAATCCATTCTGCTTCAAGTGCAGAGCAAGAGGACACTTGGGAATGCATTGTCCACAATCAAGTACTGGTTCGAACGCAGGTTCGGGGGGGAGGCAACCACAACTAAAACAATCAATGTTAGTCGAGGCGGACAACAAGCCAGGGGGTTGGTACATAAACTCAGCACAATACAGAGGTTGGATCTTCGACGACAATCTGGAGAAGCCAAGATGGATATGGGTCCTGAGCGGTACACCCACGCTGAAGCCAGACATCTACCCACCTTACAATAGCCGCTGGAGACTTGCAGGGGCAAAGCGTATGGAGGACAAAGATGTGGGCTACATCCACAAACCGATGATAGACGAGGACACAATTCTGGATGACGAACAGCGTTTGCAGACCATGGCCGAACTGCATAAGCTGGGGCAAGAAGCTGAAATGGCCTATTTAGAGAACAAAAGAGCGAGGGAGGAGGCTGAGAAATCAGCGGAGGGGGGCAAGGGGAGAGAGGAAGAAGAAGAAGTGGGGGGCAGCAAAACCTCGAGTCAAAGTGAGAGACTGCGCGGGGAGGGGACAGGAGAGACAAGGATCAGCAAGGCAAGAGAGGAGGGGGATTCGCAGGGGGCATTCAAAAGGAAGATGAGTGACAGAAAAACATCTACGAGAGGTATTGCGAGCCACGACACAAAAAGATCTCATACGGGCAAGAGGGAAGATGAAGCTTCAGTGTCGCAGGGCCAAGTCCATGGATCGGGCACGAGAGAAGAGGGACAAGGGGAGGCTAAGGCACAGGGTGAGGGGATGGACATAATTCCATCGGAGGCAGAGGATTCGTCATCTTCTTCTTCGGACCAACACACACGCCCAGGCTCATCATCAGCAGGTAACAGCCCATCAAGCAGAGCAAGGATGGACAGCGGGGAAAACATAATGGCAGATCCACCGAAGGACTCGAAAGGAGATATGGATAGCGGGGAGGATGTTAGAATGTCACAGGACTCAGGAGAAGACACAGGAGAAGACACAGGAGAAGACACTGAAGGGGAGGAATGGGAGGATGCGAAGGAGGAGGAGTAACTGGAAACGCTAGCCCAGTGGATCACAACGGTACACAAGCTGAAGTGGGAAAGACACGTCGAATGTGAAGTACGTCTGGCGCGTCATAAGCATCTACGCAACCTGAAGCAGGCTACTTCAGCTGGGGATGATATTACCTCAACAAACAGATTTGAATGGTTGAGGAAAGAGAAGGAGGTCAATGAGTTCTACGCATCACAGTATGCTTGGAAGGCCCACCCAAACAGCAACGACATTTTGGTACACAACGGGAACTACGCCAAGCAGTTCATATGGCCCAAAACGTACTAACCTCAGGGGTTGAAAAGGTCAGAGCAAAAAAGGAAAGCGCAGCAGGAATCAGAAAGCCCAGCCCAAGGGACGGAGGAAAAGGAGCAGATCGAGGAGGAGATGAGACAAGCAACGATCTTGGAGGCACAAATCAATGTCCTCAAGGATCAAAACAGGGAATTGGAGGAGGATACCATCAATCTGCTAAAAATAGCCTACTCTCCACAGGCTAACATAAACGCAGCAGCCAAACTCTTCGCAAGGCACAATCCGGGGAGGAGAGTCATCATACCATACCGCTGGAATAGCGGAAACTCGGACTGGGAGGTGGCCATACACAAGACATTGGCTCTAATCGTTACAAAGGACAGTCACTGCTCACAGGAAAGGCTCAAGGAACAGATCTCAGGAGATCTCCCGGACAGGGCTCAGGTGGTAGAGAGCCTTTCCCAAGATCGGGAGGAGTGGGAGGACACGGCAGGTGGTAAGCAAACAATTGACTACAGGCCCATTCTACTCAGAATGCAAGAGAAGGCAAAGCTGGCGGAGGGATTAATATGGATGCCTTGGCAGGTGGTGGAGGCAATACCATACGGACTATTGGGGGGCACAGAGGCAGCGAAATGGGTGGCTAGGGGAGCAGCGATCCTCTCCAAGACAGATGTTTTCTCGGGGACGCCAGAGGGCATGGACACTTGGTTAGCAGACGTGGCGGCTGATTGGGAGTGGCCACAAGAGGGCTCGTGAAGAAATGCTCGTTAGTGGACCATATTCAAGGAATAATATAAATGGCAGGGGTAGTGATGGAGGATAGAACCAAGAGAAGAAGATTATCGTCACGAGAGGGGGGAAGGGAATCGGAAATCAGAATTGTGTCTTGGAACGTTAATGGCATGGCACAAATTTTAGACAATAAGGATAAATGGAATAATTTATTAAGGGCCACGGATTGGTTCGGGAGGAACCCCCCAGATTTTTTATGTCTTCAAGAAACTCACCTCACTGACTCGCCGGCACATCAAAAGACGCAGCAACGTATAGAAAAGCAACTCAGATGGGTGAAGGCTAGTTTTTGGGCCGTGGCAAATAGACCGCACTCAGCAGGGGTGGTAATTCTGTTGAATAGGAGGTCAGCGGCAGCAAACAAGTTGTCTTTGTTAGATGCCTCGACGGATGAGGAGGAGGGTCGATGGGTGAAGCTCAACTTCTCTTATCAGGAGGAACAATTCTCGTTAGTCACAATCTATTGCCACAACTCCTACCAGAGTAGAGCAGAAATGCTTCAATCAATACAGGCCCACTTGGAGGCAACGAGACATGTCACACTGGCAGGTGACTGGAATGCCACTCTTGACCCAGGTTTAGAAGGATAATGGGGGGAAGATCAGGATCAGGGGATGAGCCTCCGGGTGAAGAGGCCTTACCAATTCACGCACTCATGATAGCCCAGGGGCTTATTGACCCCTTCCGCCTCCACTACCCAAACCAGAAACAATACACCTACTACAAAAGGAATCGCAGCCAGCACATATCAGCCTCTAGAATGGATTACTTCCTAGTATTGAAAGAGCTGATAGGATCTATTCACTCGATCGAAATAGGTGATCTGCCGCACTGCACATGTCTAGACCAGAAACCGGTGACGCTAGAGCTGACCCCAAATAAACATATCCAGAGGGGCATAAGTTTCTACAAGATAAACAATTCCCTGCTAAAAACTCTAGAGCTAAGAAAGGCCATACTACAGGTATGCTTGGACCACGACAGCGACTCACAGTCGTTCCCTGATTTAATCAATGCACTGACGCAAGCATCGTCAGCAGTGGCCAGGCAGTTAGCAGCCAGAAGGAAAGCTAGGGAACAGGAACTTCGGCAAGCCCTACGTAGAGCAGAGAGGAACCTAATCAGCAACCCGGGAACGGGATTATACGAAACCACAATAGAGGAGGCAAGAAGGGAGTTAGGGGACTGGGAACGCTGGAGGGCTAGGGGTATGCAGTTGAGAGCAAGAGTAAAAGAATGGGAAGAAGGAGAACGAATGACAAAGTATTTCTTTCAAAAGATTAAAACCAGAGGTAGGAATTCGCAAATAGAGCAGCTGGAAGGCCCTCAGGGAGTAGTATCAGATCTCGAAGGTTTGTTGTCGGTAGCCAGTAGCTTCTACACCTCACTCTATAGGTCTAGAGAAGGGGACCAGGATCCAAGACAGGTAAAGGAAGTTCGGAATAAATTCCTAGCCTACCTGGACCGMACGCTGAATGGGGTCCAGGCAGAAATGCTAGACGCCCCGCTTTCGCAAGAAGAGTTGAGAGTGGCTTTAGATACAATGCCTCCAAACAAAACGCCGGACAGGGATGGACTGACAAGGGAGTTCTGGCAGGAGTATTGGGAAATCCTGGGTGGGGAATACGAAACCTTCTTGAACCAGGCATGGATCAACAAAGGCATGGGAACGGAATCATCAACAGGGGTAGTCACCTTAGTGTATAAGAAGGGAAACCCTAGGGACATTAGAAACTACAGACCGATTACACTCCTGACGCTAACACACAAGATAGTGGCCAAAGCATTAGCGAACCGCTTGAGGAGGCTAACGGCCAACTGCTTCCACTTGGATCAAACAGGCTTTATCCCAGGGAGATTCATCCTGGACAACGTGATGACTTTATCAGAATCGGTGAGATTCATAGCGAACAAAAGAATGAACACGGCTATCCTCTTCTTTGACTTCGAAAAAGCATATGACCAGGTCAGCTGGCCTTTTCTACAGCAATGTATGGAGAAAATGAGAGTAGGTCCCAACTTTCGCAAGTGGGTGAGAGTATTATACAACGATTCACACGACCAGGTACAAGTCAACGAATATCTTTCAAATAGATACAGAATGACTAGATTAGTGAGGCAAGGTGACCCATTAGCCGCCCCCACCTTTCTCTTTATCATGGAAGTCATAGCTTCATTCCTTAGGAAAGACCCTTCAATCGATCGTCTAATAGCAGAACCGGACCAGCAGGGGCGTATAATAGAATTATCCACCACGATACTATTCGCGGATGATCTCACAATACTCATCAGGGCCACAGATTCCTCTTTTCAAGCACTCACAAAAGCGATGGAAGCATTCCAATTGGCATCGGAAATGAGAATTTACTGACCCAAAACGATAGGATGGTGGCTTATATATGACCAGCAGCAACAACAACCCCAACCCCCTGACCATGGGGGAATGGAGTGGCTACCCCCACACCAACCGTTGAGGTATCTGGGGATTAGGCTAGCGGACGAGGGCCCCCATCACTCCATGGCCCCTGATCAAATGACCAAAATGCTAGCAAAGCTGGATGCATGGTCTACCATTTATACCTCCCTGTACGGAAGAGCCTTGGTCCTCAATGCCTCCATCTTCTCCATGTTATGGTATGCGGGCACCCTCTGGTCACCCCCAGGATCAACACTTCGAAGGCTCCGAAGGGTTGCAGCAGCATATCTGTGGACAGGGAACCCGACCAAGGATAACTTCATTTCCAAGGTTGCCTGGAAACAAGTAACACAAACAAAGAATCGGGGGGGACTGGGCATCCTGGATCCCGAACAACAGATTAAGGCACTCCAATCAAAATGGATTATCAAGCTGGTAATGCAACCCCACTTGCGCTGGGTTCCCCTAGTATTAGAGCACATACGAGGACTTTCGAAGTTCTCAACTCCTCCAAATATGGAGGGCACCTTCTAAATATTCTGCAAAGGGTGGGCAAAAAGGGGTAGGACAAGGGAGCGGGGGGGTGAGGAGGGAACTTCCTTCCCATCATACTGGGCACATATTCTTAGGATATGGGAAGAGATATTCCCGGCTAGAGTACGGAAACCTAGATCCAAGGAGGACGTCCTCAGGCAACCCTTGTTCTGTAACCCCTGGTTACAAGATTCCCAAGGGAAGCCGAGGACATTAACAGCTAGGGACACCAGATGGGGGAATTGGTTGGAACACGGGGTCTGGCAGATCAAGCAATTATGGTCCCAGAATGACAATAGATGGAAGACAGGGAGGGAACTGAGAGATACGATGAAAGGTTGTCATAAGCTTACGGAGAATCTAAACGACGTTCTAATATCCATTCCGCAAGAATGGCCGCAGTTGTTGAGAGGGCCGTACAAATGGGAATGGCGTGACTGGGCGACCTGGCACATAAGTGCAGTTCCAGAGCAGGCCTTCCGGGTGCAGCAGGAAGTGGGCCCCGATAAACAGTGGCTKGATGCAGAGATGTTCGTAATTCGTAATCCGGGAATCACAGTGAGTCACCTGGATAAAGAATCCAAGACAGCAATCACAGTTAAGAAGTGCCTGCTCAGGAAGATCAGGGTGATAGAGGATGACGAATTTACAGTATTTGCACCCACGGTGGCCATTGAAGATTTGGAGTACGACCCGGCGGAATGGGCATGGAATGTTAGGGGTGGAGAGACACGAGTGACAACGAAGATTAACATTCTCCGCTATACAACGAGACTAGGTTATAGGCTGAGGAGAAGATCAACCCATCTGGATCTTCCCCTAGCCTTAAGATGGGAAAAGAGGGAGGGGATACCAAGAGACCAGGTGGGGAAGTTGCCCTGGTCGTCCCTTCACAGTATAAGATTGGGTAAGATCAGAAGTCTACAGTGGCTCATCCTCCATGTGGCCCTCCCAGTCAACTAAAGAAGAAGCAGGCAAGCTAGGGAAGAGGAGGAACGAAACTGTATCCTATGTACAGGTGGGGCTCTGGAAACGATGGTCCACTGCTTAATCTCATGCCCGGAGGCAGAGAAGGTATGGGCGTTAGCTCACGTACTATGGTCCCAGGTCACGAAAGTTCCCTTCCCTCCGATCAGAGACAGACTCATAATCAACAT